AGCCGGCCCCGCGGCAGCCCCTGCCCACGGGACATCCGCGGTGCTGCCCGCGAAACGCGCCGTAGGGTGCCGGGCTCTCAGGCGCTGTTGTCCCTCGGCAGTTCAAACGGCAAGTCGGAGAGCAGGAGGAGGACGGCGACTTGTGGATCGGATACTCCGCCTTCCACCTGGGGGACTACAAGAGAGCGCTGGAGGTGAGGCGAGGCGGGGGCGATGCTGTGACAGTGCCGTGCCGTGAAGCCGCGGCAGCGGGCAGCAAGTGCCCTCTGATGGAGGCCAATTCCGCCAGGCTGGTAAAGTATAAAGTAAAATCACACATAGTGCATAAAGCCATTTGGATCAAAAAGGAAGCAGTCTCATAAGAACAGGCATTTTTCTTCTAATCTTCTCTACTATATGATTTAATATTTACTCAGTAGCATGGTTTGCCCTTTCTAATGTCATAGCCCATGTTCTAAAGTTTCCATTCCCTTTCTGCAGGTAAATTTGCACAGTTCCAGTTTTTAGGTTTACTTTTAGATTCAACTTCATCATGTAGCTCAGTAATATGCCGACAGCTTGTTTTCCATTCTTACTTCCCAGGCTGATATTTCTGGGCATCTAATATACTCTGTTGTTATTCTGTGTATTTTCTTATATTAGGTAAAATGGAATAAAACTCTGTTATTCTCTGAAAAAAAGATAAGTCACAAAAATAAATATTGGTTACTCAAATACATGTAAATCATAAATATTTACATCATGTAGTGCTGCTGTACCTTTTTTGTGCACGAGTCCCTGTGCCATTCCTTCTCTGTTATGTTCATTTATGTCTCTGCTGAGACATAAATTTGTTGCCTGCCAGTTTGCTGTCAGTGAATTTGTTGCCAGAGTTACTGGAGTAATCTCTCTTTTTGGTTGTATATTTCTCTGTAGAAACCTAACAAATTTGTGTTGGCCTGCTTGCTGTATACTTCTGAGTCTACACTTATGCTCAGTATAAAATATCTAGGCTAAAATCAGTTTTTCACACAAGAAGAGGGAGTATTGTAGGGCGTGATATGGATATATCGCAGAAGCGGAGCGAGCATATGCTGGAGAAGATCTGGAAAGAAAATGGTCTGTTTGAGTAACGTTTGTCTCACTGCTCTATTTCTGCAGATACAAGTTGGTGGGTCTGTACAATGCTGAACTGTATCAATTAAGCCTACTGGTTCCAGTGTGTCAGCTAGGGAAGGCCTTCATCACAATCCACTGTGAAGTATAGGTGGGCTCTGAGCATTCCACAGCCTTTTAACTTGCATTCACTAGGAGGAATATTTAAAATGGGTCATAATTTGAAGGATTAATGAAAAAGAAAATAAACCTAAATCTCTAAATTTCTAAATCTCTATACACTATAGGTAAACACTTAATTTTATCGTAGAGGGAAATGGCATAATTGTTTCATAATCTATTTCTCTAGAAATTTAAAGTGTTTACCTATAGTGTTGCACAGTTACATGCACAAAGTCCAAAGGTGAGGCTGAAATTGAATTTATTCAAATTAAATACTAAAACTTCCAAGTAGGTTTTCAAAGATGTTCCACTTCCCTTTCGCTGTAGAAAATTGTACAGAAAACATCTGCTGGCAATAGGATTAATCAAACTGATAGTATCTGAAAAGTATATAATATAGCCATAACTTCATATTCACATTTAGTTGATTTTTGTATGCAGTGAAAGAATAAACACATTATTTTTGTAGAGATCAGAATTGGTCTGTATTATTAGCTTCACCACTAGGTGATGCTCTTGATTCAGACTTCAGAAACTACTCTGCACAGCCTTTCAGTCTTTCCGCGCTAATAGGGATATTAACGGATTTTTGTATTTCGGGAGATTGATTGGTGAGCTTTGCTTGTTTGTTTATTTTTTTTGCAGGATCACAGGGCTTGTATTTTCACATTTCATATTAATTTTGGCACAGTGATAAGTTGTGATATCTTACTACTTTGGTGATGTGAGAAATGACTGTGTCCATCTTGACTTACTTCCTTCAGGGACACAACATACTGTGTTTTTATTTTCCTGCTTTCTAGTAATCAAAGGATAGTGCCTGGACTCTGGACACTGAATTAATTCCCTTTCAGCTGTATATTTATGTATCTAGCTGTAAACTTCAAGGTTGAAGTATAATGCTGTGTCTCCCCTACTGTGCTACAGGGACCTGCTTGGCACTGTCAGGGACAAATTCCTTGATTATCTCTGCTCTCTCGACTTTGTAGCACTCTTTGGGGTGTGCCAAGAGCTCTGTAAATCAAAAACCACAGGTAGAAACTTGTGTGGAGTTCTCTACAGTAATATTGCCTGCAGTCTAAATCATTCATAATCATCAGTGCCTGCAAGGGAAAGCACTTAGTCTGCTATACATTCCTGGTCTGAGACAAACTCGTACCTGTTGGGATTCCACAGAAATTCTGCTGCTCAGTAATCCTTTTATCTTTAATGGGGCCATCACAATGAGCCTAGTAGGCTGGTTGCATGACAGCTTTTGGGTAGGCCTAGAAGTTGGGCTGAGGAGGACATTATTTACTGTAAAAAATGGAAAAGAATGAAAGATACAGACCTCTACCACCAAGAATATGTTGAGAATGATAACAAAATATTTGGCATATAGACATGTGCGATTCTGTTGTCAGAGGCATACGAACCGGTAAGGTTTGAGAGAGCTCTACAGTCGGTTTGACCAGGATCACACTTCTCCCTTCTTGGTAGGCAGATGCCTTTCTCAGAAAGGTATTCCCCTCTTCCC